GAAGGGATCTGGAGGGTATTATGATAAGTGAAATAAGCCAGTCAGAGAAAGGCAAGTATCACCTGATCTCATTCATATGTGGAATCTGATGAACAAAATAAAGTGATGAACAAAATAGATCCTGGGACATAGAAGTATGGAACAGACTGCAGAACCTCAGAGGGAAAGCAGAGGAGTATTGTCCCTGCCAGTGGAAAATAAACTCTTTTGGTTAATTAAGAAATTGAAATAAGGAGGAAAAAGCACTTTTCAGATTAATAGCTAAATATATCAACTGTTAGAAGCTTTGTTGAGATTTTCCAGGAAACATGTCAGATTTGATTGAAATAGCAACAGAATTTGAGCTTGTGACCTGAATAACATTACAATAATCCACAATTATTCTACAACTGAAAATGACTTTCTGGACAGGCCAAACAGACAAATAAAACGAGTTACTGATAGAAATCATTCCTCTTGCATCTTTTAAGACTTTGATGGCTGCACTCGTTGTAGCATTTTCACCATCGATGGCATTTTGCTTTTGTCTATCTGGATGGACGGAATGTTTCTAGGGCACTTCCCTGGGCCCTTTCTATCATGAGAGCTCTTACTCCATTCCATTTGGCCAGCTGCCAACTATGTCTATTAAATCATACTTTCAGGAACTAGAGAAAAGATGCACAATGGCTTTTTAGAATTGTTATCCTTGTAATTAACTAGTTAATATTAATAAAGGAAAGAAAGCAAAGGGAAGTCAAACCTTGTAAGCATAGGCATCTGAGGAGCTTCACCAGGAAGCTACAGCTTCACACAGCAGTGTTCTTACAGGGGGATTAACACCCTTCCTTCCGCCCTCCAGTGCTAGATTGTTGGGGGTAGAAGGAGGAGAGAGGCATATGGGCAATAAAATGAAATGATGCAGGGGAGGTGCTTGTCTATCAGTTTAGCCTGGGCAACAATGGATTGGCTAGGTGGTGAACCATATCAAAAGAGTGAGAAATTTTGAAAAGTTATTTGGTTAGTTTGAAAAACATCCTATTCAAATCTCCAGACAAAGAGTTCCCTCACTCTTGTTCTCTCTTGCTCTGTGACCCATACTCACCCGTGGGTTTGCCAGTTCTCTCTCTACAGCCATGTGGCCTTAACACGTTAAGAGCCCAGCCTGTTTTGTCTTCTGGACAAAAAGTATAGTGTCAGTCACTGGTGACTGACAGGGCGCTTAATGTGATATGCATTATAAAACCCATACTCACCCGTGGGTTTGCCAGTTCTCTCTCTACAGCCATGTGGCCTTAACACGTTAAGCGCCCAGCCTGTTTTGTCTTCTGGACGAAAAGTATAGTGTCAGTTACTGGTGACTGACAGGGCACTTAATGTGATATGTATTATAAGCTCTATTCTTACAATAAAGTGAGCTAGAGAAATAAAAATGTTAATAAAATCATAAAAAAGAGAAAATGCATCCCCATTATTTATTGAAAAAAAATCCATGTGTAAATGGACCTGCTCAGTTTAAACCTGTGTTGTTTCAACTGTACTAGCAAGGATACTGTAAAGATCATTCAAAAATATCAGGGAAATTTCAGAATTCAAATGTCTTAACTTCATCAGATTTGATATTCCACCATATTTATTCTGTAACTATAAGACATAAGAGATTTATTTTTTTATAGTTTGAGATTTTTATATTACTAAGCTTATCATTTAGTTTCTGTTCACTCTCCAGAGCCATCAGAAATAACCAGACAACTCCAGGTTCTGGTGGTCATCATTCCTATTTTAGTGATCAAGTATAGCAGCCACGTGGGCTCCCAAAGTCTTGCTTTTAGTGGATACTTCATTCTAAGCAAACACATAATTGAAATAAGGATGACGTCATTGTATGTCATAGATTACTAGTGTCCTATGAGTGGGTATCACTAGACTTGGTATCATCTAATCAGTTGCTGGCCTGACTAGGGCAAAAAGGTGGAGAAATAAAGAATTCAAGCCTTCCTGCCTGATTGCTTGAGCTAGGACATCAATCTGCTCTTAGCATCCCTAGTTCTCACGCCTTCAGAACTGAATGAGAATCTATACCATCAGCTCCCTTGGTTCTCAGGACTTCAGACTTGGACTGTATTAACCACTAGATTTCCTGGGTCTAAGCTTACAGATGGTAGACCATGGGATTTATCAGCTTCCATAATAATATGAGCCAATTCCTTATAATCATTCTATATATATATAGGGTGAGACAAAAGTAGGTTTACAGTTGTGAGTATGGGAAACACAGAGTTTATTCTTGTATTATTACTTATCAATTATTGTATTGTTTTCCATAGGAACAACTACAAACCTAGGTGGGCTCCATGTTGTATAATAGATTAATGTTGATTCTCTGAAGAACCCTAACTAATACATCTTAAAGGAGTGTACAGTCTTGCAGTAGATTGTTAGAGAAATCTTGGATATTCACATTGTGAGTAACAGGTGAAGAATTGTGTTCTTACCTTATGTTTGGTACAGACTCAACAGTGCATAGGCAGTGGGGCTTCATCTGGTAAGTTGTACTTGCTTTGATCCATTAACTGTTTTAGTCCTTGTTCATTTCTCCTTAGTTTTGCTGTTTCATCTCTAGACCTGAAATCCAGGGGACAGTAATTTACTTCACACACACACACACACACACACACACACACACTTTGTCTACCACCTGATTATAGTCTATCTGAAATTGTTCCTATTCTTTACCTATCCAAGAATTTTATCTCTTTGTTTAACTGAGAGATTCTCAAGAACAAAGGTTGTGTCTTATGCTTTTTATTTTGTGCTTCATAGCATTTAGATGTAAGGCTGAGGACACATTTCGTACCCTATCTTTGTTGGACAAACCATAGATAACCACACCTGATACCTTCTTTGTGTGCAATAGAAGCCTACTTCTATCAATCTCCATTTCAGCATCACAGAAGCGCTATTGAGAAGTACTGTGTGTAGGCTGGAGCAGTGTTTCCTCAGCAGCTCCCTTTCCCATCTTGTGGCAAATCAAAGTGGCCTGTTGCCCATTAAAAGTAGAGTCCTTAATCTTCATATCTCATATTTCCAGATTAAGATAAAGAAAAACACATTAATCTGTGAAGGTGTTTGTGGGTGTTTGCATTCAGTTTGAGTAAATGTTTTATATTTGGACATTTAACGTATGTATTTTGTATTCATATTTGGATTTCTAGTTACCACAGCCATATACATTGAATTGTAAAGAGACAAAGAGTTTGAATGTAACAGATGGCAAATTAGCTCTAAAATAAAATAGGTGGATGCTAATGCTAGGCATTGTCTTTATTAGGGCTGTTACAATTTCTACTGCCAGTGTTGAGACTCGATGGCAATGAGAAATGCTTTGGAAGGTGCTTGTAAATATAATTTTAATGTAATTTGGCTTTAATTTAAAAATAACTTTACTTAAAAAAAATTATACATGCCTCTCATAGAAAGCTCAAATAATAGAATAGGCAAAGAAGAAAGTAAAATGTCCCTGAAAGAAAACCTCATTATGAACATTTTGGTTACTACCCTTCCAGAAACATCTCTCTGTACACATACCTATATAAGTATATACATATAATTTTACATGAACTATGTTGCATATGATGTTTTATCCTGCATTTTTACTCAATACATTATTATTTACCATTTCCTATGTCAGTAAAATAGGGGACTTTCTTATATCTGATATATCATTAATTTTCTATATGCTTAATGATAGACATATAGGTTATTTTCATTTCTTTTCTAATATGAATAATGCTATAGAAAACATTTGTTCCATTTTTAAATTATGTCCTATCCTTAGTTGAGTTTATTCATTTATTAATTTAACAGACATTAGCCCCAGTCACTCTTTGAGATGCTGCAGTATAATAGTAATCCAATTAAATAAAGATTTCTTTCTTTAGTGGATTAATAGGTATGAATATTATATGATGTCATATACATTCTCAAATTTCCCTCCAGAAATATACTAATGTACTCATCTATAAACTTCAGGGAAAAACACCTGTTTACCAAGAACAATTCTAGGTTTTGTTGAATATCTAAATCCTTCCAGGTTTGGTGAGCAAAACATGATCTCTCAGATGTTTATTCACATTTCTTTGATGGAAGTTTAGTATCTTTTTCTTGGGCATATTATCCATTTGTATATCTTTTTTGGTATATTGTTTAATCACCCATTTATGTTAAGGTATTTGAGGCTTTTGCTTACTGATTTATAAAAAAAATCTTCATGCATTATAAATAGTAATCTCCTTTCAGTCATATATTAGGCAAAAATCATCTAATATGATATAAACAGAATGATACAGTAGGTAGTCTTTTAATGTCTGGCTGATTGTGAGATTCATTTACGTTCTTGTGTTTAGCTGTACTTTAGTCATCCTCATTGTCATTTACATTTTTATTGAATGACTATACAAAAATTTATCTTCTGATTCTATACTTTTGGGTGTTTCTAGTTATTGGTTGTGACATTTAGTCCTGCTATTAATATTCTTGTACATGTCTTCTGGTAAGCATTGGTTCACATTTCTATGGTTATACGCCTAGGAGTAAAATTGTTGTGTCTTAGGAACTGCCATGTTTAATGTTCAGTTGAAGAACCTGCAGTTTTCTGAAGTGCTTGTTCCAGCTTGCCCTTGTAACAGCTAAGGGTGTGAGTTTTGGTTTCTGTCTTTTCTTTTTCTGATGGATATATAGTGGTATTGCATTTTGGGTTTAGTTAGTATTCCCTGATAAAAAAAAAGTCAAACATCTTTTCATGTGTTTATTGACCTTGAAAACTTTTCAAAATATAGGTTCTCAAGTCCCATTACAGAACTGATATATCAGAATCTCTGGGGATAGGACTCAGGACTCTGTATTTTTAAAAAATATGTTTTTATTGACTTCAGAGAGAGGAAGGGAGAGGGGGAGAGAGAGAAACATCAATGATTAGGGAGAATCTTCGATCAGCTGCCTACTGCATGCTCCTTACTAGGGATTGAGCCAAAACCCAAGCATGTGCCCTGACTGCGAATTTGAACCATGACCTCCTGGTTCATAGGTCAATGCTCAACCATTGAGCAGCACTGGCCAGGCTGGAATCTATATTTTTAAAAGCTCTACCAGCTGTTATCATTCCTAGAGTTACTGAGCATAAATACAATTTTAATTGGAATATGAAACTAGCCAGCTTGTATGATAGCTAAAATAAACCAACAGAAAAATTTGGTTTTCCAAATTTTCCTGTTTCAGAGAAATACAGAAATTATGTTAAAACTTTTTTAAAAAAATATATTTTATTGATTTTCTACAGAGAGGAAGGAAGAGGAACAGAGAGCTGGAAACATCAATGAGTGAGAAACACCAATCAGCTGTTCCCTGCACACCCCCCACCGAGGGGACGTGCTGGCAACCAAGGCACATGCCCCTGGCCAGAATCGAACCCGGGACCCTTGAGTCCGCAGGCTGACACTCTATCCACTGAGCCAAACCGGCCAGGGCTATGTTAAAACTTTTAAAATTTATCTTTATTGTTGAAAGTATTACAGATGTTCCTTTCTTTTTCCCATTGACCCCTTTTAGTCCACACTGGACCCCTGCCCCAGGCCTTCACCACACTAGTCTGTTCCATGCTTCTGTGTCTCTGGATCTACTTTGCTCAATAGTTTATTTTGTTCATTAGATTCCACATATGAATGAGATCCTGTGATACTTGTCTGGCTTATTTTGCTTAGCATAATACTTTCCAGAGCCCTCCATCCTGTCTCAAAGGGTAAGAGATCCTTCTTTTTTACTTCTGCATAGTATTCCATTGTGTAAATGTACCACAGCTTTTTTATCCATTCAGCTACTGATGGGCACCGGGGCTGCTTCCAGATCTTAGCTTTTGTAAATAGTGCTCCTGTGAACTTAGGGGTGCAGATATTCTTTATGATTGGTGTTTTGGGATTTTTTAAGATATATTCCTAGAAGCAGGATCACTGGGTCAAATGGCAGTTCCATTTTTAATTTTTTGAGGAAACTCAATACTGTTTTCCACAGTGGCTGCACCTGTACCAGCAACGTACTAGAAACTTTTAACTTTTAAAATTATTCTCATTCTATTATGCATTTTAGAAACAGTCTATCAAGGACTTTACATGTTCCATGTGCTGAGAGAAAACTCACTATAGATCTCTCACATTTCTGATTGTCTCATGAGCAGAGGCATTAGCCGTCCTTGTTCTGGACTATCTTTTCAAGGATGTTTGTGTGGTGAACAGCCTTTGAAGATAGAGATAGTGTCTCCCTCTGGATCCAAGGGGAGGGTTATTTACTGTTCGATATAATAAAGATGTCTCCATCTGGGGCAAAGATCAAGTAGGTTTACCAGCCAATATAAAAGACTCAGGTTTCCTAAGCTTGGGTTCCTCTCCTGTAATGCAACCTAATGTGTGGACAGGCACACCTATCTCTCTTTATGTCAGCCTATGGCACTTGGGGTTCTGGGAATTTAAAAAATGCTGATGCCCTGGCTACTGCTTATAACAACAGTAATAAAGTTCTTTGTCTCTGATTGAGGAGGCCAGCATCAGTAAACTTGTAGCATGCTCTCTAGTTAGTTTGCAAGTAAAGTAGTATCTTAGACACTTTCAAGTTGTTTTTTTTTTTTTTTTAGCATTTTGTGCTCTCCAAATTTCATCTATTCAATGACAATAAGGCATTGAGTAAAACATTGAGTTAGTTAAATAACTTTGATGAGCCATTTAGATAAGGTATCAAATATATTTTAGGTTTACTATTAGAATAAATTTTTATAAAAAGGTATTTAAGAAATTCATCCAGTACACATTCTTTATGGTAGGAAAATGAGAAAGTTCTGGTCATTTCACTTCATTCACTTCTTGTACTAATGCTTGAAACCCTACCTAATTTATGCAATTTTAAATATTCTCCTGTAGACAGCAAGTTCATGAATGCACTTTAGAGATAATACACCTTATTTATTTAGTGCAATTTTAAACTAAATATTATGAATGGGTTTTCCAAATTATGGTGCCAAGGTTTAATGAGCTGTAATTACAGGTCCTAGGATATTTGTATGAGGAGAAAAAGCTTACTGTACACCATTAAAGTGTTTTATGTATGATGATGACTGACATAACCCATTATGGAATTTGAATAAGCTTAATTGTCCAAGAAAAATAATTGAAAATAATCCTTTAGATGTCAAAATAGAGCAATTTATCATATGACTCTGTCAGCTGTTATTTAATATCCTTCCTGGTTATAGACCTGCATTTTTGGTGGCTCATTAGTTATGTCACCATGAAAACAATATTTTTAGCACTGTTCAAGATGAAACCCTTATTCACAATGTGTTGAAATGTGAATTAGCATTAAAATGATCTGATATTATCAGGTGACTCCAGTGCTCTGCTAGTTAAAGGGTAAAGCTGAAAATAGACATGAGTAATGATAATTTATCAGTTGTACTTTTGAATATTTACAGAAAATTATGTTTTGAAGAACTTCTTTAATTACTATTCCATGTTATTCAAATGAGGACAGGCCAATAATAGCAATTCTGCTTTTAAAGAGCTGCTTGTACTTTATAACTAAAGGTAACTGAGAGGAAGAGGTCAAAGGGAAAGAAATTGAGAGGAAGATAATGAACCCTGTGTTAGATTAGCACAGGTCAATACATGTTTCTGTGCGGTTGGTAGAAGTGAGATGCAAGTTTGGCCCTAAGATTTACCAGACAAAACAGCAATGGAATTGCAATCCTTTACAAGATTTAGAGTGTCCATAAATTAAAGTCAATCAATTTATTAGAGGAACATCTCTTTTCTTGTCTTGAATATATGCAGGATGATTTCTGAGTGAGCTGTTTACTTAAATAGTCCAAAGGTATGAAGAAAAAGCCCAACTTGTTACAGTAGTTCTCTAAGGGGTGGCCACATCGGAATGCGATGCACATTCTCAGGTCTTAATTTAAACATTAGTACTGATGTCCAATACTAATTTAGAATAGACAAAGGAGTAGATCATCCCCCATAAATATTATGTCTGCCAGTCAGGCTTTTGACAAGGGTTAAATAGCAGATAGCTCAGGGTTATATTTTCTGGCAAGAGCCTGATATCTATATAAATTTTAAATGAGTTATTTGTATTCTTTGGCAGCCAGCTGACATAGGGCAGGCTTAACGTGTTCCTAAGAAAATGAAGGAGGGTAAGGGAGTCACTTGCCTGTGTAAATGATGTCTCATTTCCTCATGGAGGAGATTGTAGATGTATGCATAGTCAAAACCACCTGCAAACTCTAAAGATCTCATCATAGAATAATAGCACTGAAAGTATCCCATTTTTGAGATGGTAAAAGTAGATTTCCACCTTAGCATTACAGGCTGCTTTTTTCTCAGTATCTGGTTCATTTGGATGAAGATAAGAGCCTGGAGAGTTGACTCTGAATGGCTATGGCACACTGTTTCTCCACTTACACTGAACGGAGTGAAAACTTTTGAGAAAAGATGTTTCATCTACTTATACACAGGGAAAATGAATTTTGTATATAGTCAGCTCAACTACTGGAATGTTACAACTGAGTATGGGCCATAAATTGTTCTGATATTAGCATGTTTTTCTGCCTTGCTTTGTTTGTGATATGAGTATATCTCCATTGGAGATTTTTGAGAAAAGAGAGATGAGGTGGTCAAGGCAGAGTTTCAATATTCCTGTGTCCTTTACATAGTATCATCTTAATGGCACAAATGGATATTACCCCATTATAATAAAACTAGAGGCCCGGTGCATGGATTTGTCCACCGGTGGGGCCCCTCGGCCTGGCCTGCACCCTCGCGCAATCCAGGACTCCTTATGGTAGCGGTTCTCAACCTGTGGGTCGTGACCCCTTTGGGGATCGAATGACCCTTTCACAGGGGTCGCCTAAGACCATCAGAAAACACATATATAATTACATGTTGTTTTTGTGATTAATCACTATGCTTTAATTATGTTCAATTTGTAACAATGAGATTGGGGTCACCACAACATGAGGAACTGTATTAAAGGGTCGCGGCATTAGGAAGGTTGAGCACCACTGCCTTAGGGGATGTCGGACTGCTGGTTTCAGCCTGATCCCCACAGGCCAGGCCAAGGAACCTACTGGTGCATGAATCCGTGCACTGGGCCTCTAGTATGCATATAAGATATTTGGGTAATCTCTTCCCGCCCTCCCCCCTTCCCTCTGAGATTCATTAGTCTGTTTCATGTTTCCATGCCTGTACATTGAGCATCTGCCCCCTGGTGGTCAGTGTGCATCATAGCTACCGATCGAATGGTCAAACGGTCGCTTAGGCTTTTATATATATAAATTTATTTGGTAATAATGTCCATTTGCTCTTTCTCTGAGCAAACTCCTTACTTAGTTATAACTGGATTGAGGTAAGAAAGTGGTTGCGCCCCAGCTGGTTTGGCTCAGTGGATAGAGCATTGGCCTGTGGCCTGAAGGATCCTGGGTTCAATTCTGGTCAGTGGCATGTAACTTGGTTGCAGGATCCTCCCTGGCCTGGGCCCTGGTTAGGGCACATGCAGGAGGCAACCAATCGATGTGTTTCTCTCACACTGATGTTTCTCTTTGTCTTTCCCTCTCTCTTCCACTCTTTCTAAAAATCAATGGAAAAATATCCTTGGGTGAGGATTAAAAAAAAAAAGAAAGTGGTTGCTAATAGGTACAATTATCACATTGATGACATTAGTAAAAATTTCTACATAATGACAACTGTCAAAATAAAAACTGAACGAGTAAGGAGACTAAATTGTTCAGGTTACTCAGATCCAAAGATCAGATTGTCTCAGCAGGTGGTTTTGCTCAGATTTTATAAGGGAGGGATAAGCAAGTAAGTAAAAGCAAATAAGTAGATGGGGAGATTTATATTTGGGGTAGCTTTACAAGGAGGGAAACTTTAGTCAGTTATCGGAACAGGAAATGTTTTTCTCCATAGTTAGCTGGCTCTAAGCTAATCAGTCATATGACAAAGTATGGGAAGTTGGAAGGTCTGAATAAGGTCTTGTCAGCAGGTTCAAGGAAAAGAGTAAAAAAAAAACTAGGTTAATCCTAATCAATTCCTCCTTTTGTTCACGGTAAATACTGTCTGTATTAGAATAACCTTAGGAGGTGCAGTATTTTCTGCTGGGTTTTGAGTCAAGGTTTGGTGACATAGTCTATATACTCAGCATTTTCTCATTGTCCCTGTTCTTGGAGAAATAACTGAACCATCTATTGTGTTCTGACAGTTGTCTGCAATTTAAAAAAGGATTCTGGAGACAAGATATTTAGTGAAGGGGATACCTATTAGAAGAAACAGAAAAATGATTATTAGCGGCTATATTGCGGAATAAAACTAAGATTTGCAGCAAGCTGGCCACCATTTTAGTGGATGCTAGGAGTCTTCAATGAGAGGATAAAGACTGTGGAAGCAATGTGGCAAATTTCTTGGTTAGCATCTCGAATATTCTTGTGTACAATGTCGAGGTCAGAGAAGTTTTTGGAACAAATGTGCAGCAAGTGCTTCTAACCACAGCACCTACTAGGTGTACCAGTTAATAATGCAAATTTTTTTCAATAGATGGAGTTACACATATGTTGATATATATGCGATTTGATATGTATGCTATTTAGTTGTATTTACAACAAGCTATATTTTTACGCTTAAAAATGTCAAATTTCGTGCCAAAAAAAGAGCATTTGCGGGAAGTTTTAATTCATTACTTTATTTTGAAGAAAAGTGCTGTTGAAAGTTATCATATACTTTGGGAAGCTTATGGTGAACATGCTCCATCTCAAGATACTTGTGAACGCTGGTTTAAACACTTTAAAAGTGATGATTTCGATGTGAAAGACAAAGAACATCCAGGTCAATTTGAACCACGCTTTGATCGTGAGACGACCAGAATGGGCCAGAAGACACAGCAAAGTAATTTTGCTTCATGATAACACACCATCACACACTTCAAAACCAGTTAAAGACACGTTAAAAGAAAGTATTAACCCAACTTGGAAAGTATTAACCCAACCGCCGTATTCACCAGACCTTGCTCCTGCAGATTACCACTTGTTCTGATCGATGGCACACGCACTTTCTGAGCAGCACTTCAAAACATACGAAGAAGTGGAAAATTGGGTCTCTGAATGGTTTGCCTCAAAACAAGAAAAGTTTTATTGGGATATTATCCACAAATTACCTGGGGGAAATGTGTAGCTAGCGATGGACATTACTTTGAATAAAGCACTTTTGATGTTTCTCTTGAAATTAGCGTGTTTTCTTTGATTACAAAATCCACTTTATTAACCAGTACATGTAGTATATTCCTTCTAGAGCGGTTCTCAACAACCTGTGGGTCGCAACCCCTTTGGGGGTCGAATGGACCCTTTCACAGGGGTCGCCTAAGACCATCGGAAAATACATATATAATTACATATTGTTTTTGTGATTAATCACTATGCTTTAATTATGTTCAATTTGTAACAATGAAAATACATCCTGCATATCAGATATTTACATTACGATTCTTAACAGTAGCAAAATTACAGTTATGAAGTAGCAACGAAAATAATTTTATGGTTGGGGGTCACCACAACATGAGGAACTGTATTAAAGGGTCGCGGCGTTAGGAAGGTTGAGAACCCCTGTTCTAGAGGCTAAGATCATACAAAGTGCTGGTTGTGGAGACCTGCACACTGAGTCTCTTGAAATTGTTGAGTGGGGAGGTCAATGTCCTTTGTCACATTGTCCACAGTCATGGTTATTTCCTATAATGGGGCATGGAAGACACAAGAGTTTAATTTCACTGCTTGAATGGCTCATATTGCAACATTTCAGGTGCTCCAGGCAGAGTGATGGTCCAAATGTAGTTGGATGCAGCACTCAAGTCCTCCCAAGCACTCAGCTTCCTTTTAGAGGATGTCTTCAAATTCAGAGTAAAAGGAATACTGCAGTTCTTGTTTGGGCATATGTTTCAGTGTGTTGCAGTGGTAGTTACTAGTGGACTCCTGAGATTGATGATGGGGGAGTGAAGAGGACAGAGAGGCATTTACACGTAATAAAGAGGTTGAGTTAAAAACCTGATAAGGGCTGACAAGAATGGTTCAGTAACATGAGCCTGTCCAATTTCTTGGGAGATACTGAGAGGCTCAATTTTCACAAATAAAATATAAGTATTTTGGGGGCCAACCAAGGGCAATAGAAGTAGGTTTGTTATAGATTATCTTTGGCTCTAAGAAAAATATGCTGATTGGGACTTTTCAACATGTAAAATGTTAGTGCCTCTAACTGTTAGACCCCGTGGTAAAGTTGTTTAATATGGGGTTGCATTTTCTGAGAGAAAATGATGAATATTACAAGAGCAGTCATTAGAGTTGGCAGCATAAAAGGTATAGCTACAGAAACTGGAACTGAGAAAAGGGCCATCTGTGAAATTGGGAGAGAAGTGAGTATCTCTCTTCTAGAAGCTGTCCTGATTGGATTTGGGTCTTCTTCTAATGCATATAAAATATAAAAATAGTTTCCTTACATTGTGTGTGGGAAAATAGCTAAGGTAATACCTATGGGAGTTTTAAGGATGGGAAGAGGAATTTGGGCAAAGATGGTTGGCCAAGAGAAAAGAGGCAACGAAATGTACTATAAGCAAAATTATAGAAAATGATAAGAAGAGATTATAGGACTGAGTAATCACTTTAGTGCATATCATCCAAGGTTTTGGAGGCTTTGCATGTTTACAGGTAAATGAGAAATGGAGGAAAAGGAAACAGTAGGAATGGCTACAGAAACAACTACTGGAAAGAATATGGAGAAATTGGAACTCTAAAGCATTGCTGGTGGATATATAAAATGGTTCATCTGTTTTGGAAAATAGGTTGGCAGGCCTTTAAAAAGTTAAACATAAAGGTTCCATATGACCCAGCAATGCTACTTTTAGGTGTATATATCCAAGAGAATAGAGACGTATGTTCACACAAAAGAAAACTATTAACAAATTTTTATAACAGCATTATTCACAATAACATAGCCCCAAAGTGGAAACAACCCAAATGCCCATAACTGATAAATGGAAAAACAAAATGTCATATATACCTGCAATGAAATATTATTCATCCCACAAAAGGGCATATTAATTTATGTTACAATATAGATGGGCAGTGAAAATATGATGCCAAGTGAAAGATGTGAGAAACCAATGGCCTCATACTGTATAATTTTATTATCTGAAATGTGCAGAATAGGCAAATTCATAGAGCAGAAAGTAGATTAGTATTTGCCAGAGGCTGAGGAGAATGGAATATGGAGAGTGACTGAAAATAAATATGGAGTTTCTTTTTAAGGTAATGGAAATGTTCTGGGATTAGATAGTTGTGATTGTTTCACAATCTTGTAGTTATACTAAAAGCCACTGAATTGTACACTTTAAAATGATGAATTTAATGGTAAACTATATCTCAATAAAATATTAAAGGAGGAGGATGAGGAGGCAAAAGAGGAATATGGAGGATATTAAATGAGAGAATCCTAGGTGATCTTGTTCCATTGCTTTGGGTGGAAGCTGATCATTTTGTGATGTCATCTGTTTGGTTTTAATTTCTTGGGAAAACTTCAGTTTAAGATTTCATACTGGTGTGAATTTCCATTTGTAATAAAACTTGTATTTTTAAAATTATGAAACATGAAGCCAAGGTTGTACTCACTGTAGTTGTGCATTAGTACTGGTGATTAGGAGAAAAGAAGACTGCCTCTTCCACCTGGGTTCAAGATTGGTCTTTTTGTTGTGTCTTCTAAAAGTCTAGTTCTCTGACCCAAAGATTATGTCAGGGCTATGGTGGAATATTTTGGAAAAGCAGAGTTCACCTGTTGATGACAAGTCTGGGGGCACTTAATGATACCTTGGAAGTTTTTAAGGATGACACACTGGGTCAGATTAGAGTTTCCTAAAGTCTAAGAAGAATAACGGGTCCTCATTGACCTGCTGACAATTATTTTATAAGGACATGGCTAAAATTGACTAGGGGTGGGAGGATTGATGGCTCATTAGGGCTAAAAGTAAGACATTCAGCCAAAAAAGATTGAGTTCATTATAAAGTTTGATACTTTGAGTTTTTGAATTCATAGGGGTGTGAAGGTAGTCCATTATTTATAGGGGTGTGAAGGTAGTACGAATAGTGCGGTGTTTGAGAAAGTGGAAGTACTCCTTGAAAACCCCGAGTAATCTTACCTGCGAAGAGGGATTTCCTCTATTGTTAGAGAGAAACGACTCTTCATAGTAGCATCTTAGCTACAGTAGTGCAGTAGCCTGTTTGTAGGGAAGAGCTTGTAACCACCTGAAAACATGCAGACTGTGGTTAGAACATATTCATGCCGAAGGGGCTTTGAAAATCTGTTTGTCAATGAAAAGGGGACCAGAGAAAACTGACTGTCATCCTTGCTTTACCATGACTTTTTTTTGTTTTTTTGCCAGGACTGTTTTCATAGCAGATGGGAAATGTACTGTCATCCTTGCTTTACCATGACTTTTTTTTGTTTTGCCAGGACTGTTTTCATAGCAGATGGGAAATGGTGAGACCACCTGTACAACATGAGGGCTGGAGTACTTACATCACTATTTGTGGAGGAGAGCTTCAAGACTTTTGTTGCTGTGGGCTTTTGCTGAGGCTGTGGGCTAAATCTGGCCAAGGCCAAGGAGAGACAAGTGGCCATGTGGGTGCCTTCAAAGCTCATCTGGGTAAGTAAAATATCCAGGTTGTTTCCAGTCGATTTTCAGTCTCAGGTGCTAGCAGTTGTCAAACAGTTTCTTTAAGTAGTAAGTTCTGCCTCTACATGAGGGTAATCAATGTGAATAAAATGTGCAAATGGTCAAGGAAGAATTTTCTTGTGAAGCATCTCTCTTAGATATTTTTCAGCCAAGTGGTTTACTTTAGTGTTGAGAGTCTGGCTACTAGTGTGAGCTTTAGTTATAAGAATAGTTAATTCCTTGGGCAGTAATAAAGTTTCTAATAAGTTAGCTACTTGATTCTTTTATGGATGTCCTTGGAGCTTTAATAAACCCTTTTTGTTTCCATACCATACTAAAATAATGTACAACATCAAAAAGATATCTTGAGCTACTGTGCAAGACTGGTAAAAGCTATGAGTTTGGCAACTTGGCTGACTTAACCTCAGGTAGGGGTTGAACTCAGTGGATTGTGGAAAACTTGTGATAGTATATCCTCCTTGAAGTTTCCCATTTGTATCCCTAAGGTCAATACCATGTGCAAAGAAGGTGACATTAGAGTCTTTGGGAGGCATTTCACTGAGGTCTGGATGAGAAGGAATTGTAGACTGTGTGATGGTAATATAGTTATGAGGTTGTTTCTCAGGAGGGAAAGAAGACTCGATGCACTGAGGTTTTGACAGTGATAGACAGTGATGTAAGAGGGAGAAAGCAGTAGGATTTCATAGGATATGAGTTGGAGGCAGAAAATGTTGGATTTTCTCAGTAGATAGCAGGGTGTGAATTGCATAAGAGTACATATAGACTGAGTGAATGACTCAGAACTAAGTCACCAGTGATCTCAGTTAATTTTGAAGCAGTGGCAAATTTGTACAAGCAAGTTGAAATGCCTCAGCCATAGAGTCTAAAGTGAGGCTAAAATATTTAACAGGCCTTTGGTTTCCATTGTGTTTTGTGGTGAAGATCCCTACAGCATGTCCTTCCTCTCTGTGAATAAGAATGTAAAAGAACAATGAGTAGTTGAGAATCCAAGAGTCGGGGAAGAGACCAGAAAATATGTGAGGTTTTGAAATTCAGACATGGAAGGAGAGCCCCAATTAAGAGGTTCAGAGATGGACTCAGTAATGGTATATAAAGAGAATTTAATTGTGGAAATGTCAGCAATTCAATTCCAGCAATAGCTGACTAATTCTATAAACCCTTAGAGTTGTTTTTTAGTCACAGGGATGGGGAAATTGATCATGGTGTTAATTCATTTAGGGGATAAATATTCCCTTCAAGAGAGATACCATGTCCTAGATAATGCACTTGAGGGCTGCATAATTGCATCTGTCTTTAGAGGCCTGATGTCCCTTGTGGGCAAGAACTTGGAGTAAATATTGAATGTAGATAAGCAAGCTGTCAAAATCAGGTGAGCAGAGAAGGTCTTCTACATACTGGATAAGAATCTATATATATAAAAGGCTAATATGCTAAGTGTCTGTCTGACTGGTAGCTATGACACACACTGACCACCAGGGGGCAGATGCTCAACGCAGGAGCTGCCGAGCTGCAGTGATTTGGCAGCGGTGGTTCTTGGGTGATGCACCCCGAAACCATAGAAGAGGGAGCCCGATTCCTCGTGGGCCGTGTGATTCCACTTTCGGCTGTGGGTTATGTTGTTGCTGGGGCACTGTCGGTCCTGGATCTGGTTTACTGCACACTTGCATTTGTGTTCCACACTCTATGCAACTCCGGGACCCGTTGGGGGATGTCGAAGAGCCAGTTTTGGTCTGATCTCTGCAGACCAGGCTGAGATACTCCACCTGCTGGAGGAACCTGCTCACTCCCCAGATGCCCTTTGAACCATGGCACCACCTCAGGTGCAGCCAGCTGGGGAGGGACCGCAGGAGGTTGGCTCCAGGGCGTGTCCTGCCTGTCTTGCCCAGTCCTGCCCTGCTGGCCACCTTCTAATTAATTTCCTTTCAATGTGCACAAATCCGTGCATCAGGTCACTAGTTTTAGAATAAGGTTAAATTTCTCAGGTTTGCATTCAGGGTCCCAAACAAATAATTAACATCCTCAGTAAACACTTGAGACATCTTAACATATACTATTGATTTTTCCATAGGAACCAAAAACGATATTGTGAGTCAGGATGAAGAAGTATACTTAAAAAAATAAAAGAAGAAGAACATAAAATAATGACTATAAATGAATGATGTTGGGTTGGATAGAAGCCAAAATGGTATTAGAGTTAGAAACAGAAAACCCTGGAATGACTCTTTTCTTTATTGCTTTTAAGTCTTAGACTAGCCTGCATCCTTGCTAATAGTCTTCTTTACTTGGAGGATGGGGGTATTAAAGGGCCTGGGTATGGGGATTAAGAGTCCTTTGTCAAGTAGACTTTTAATTGATGAATAAATTCTTCTCGATTCTTATGGAGGTTCAGAAAGTCCTTAACAAATAGAAATCTGACTGTGACCAAAGCTTAGCATACTTGTACAGGTAGAACTGCAAGTCAATGACCTTCAGTTGTAGGTGGGGAAAAGTCACTGGTTAGGGTGAGGAATCAGGAAGCAAGGCAGTTCAATAGAGACAGAGAGAAATAAAGAGGAGGCTTAGGCACTGAAGAGGGATAAGGAAAAGGAAATTCACTGAGTAAGGAGAAGTAATGGGTGGGGGAAAGGGCTGGAGTGATGCACATGGAGGGTTCTGGGTGAGGTAAGGGGTTGTAAGGTTTTGTTGGGGGTAAAAGAGGAGCCAGAGGAATGGATTGGTGGTGAGAGAAACATTCCTTAAGGGATTGTGTAGGCTGGGATATTTTAGAGACATTTTCTCATTTTTTAGCCTCCTTGTACCAAACAAAATAAGTTGGTCATTGGTGAGAAGAGATGTCAAAGCTTAGTACTTCATAGATGGACAAGTTCAGAAAATTCCCAGGAGCCACCAGAGTTCTAAATTGTTCTTAGTAAAATTCAGCTGTTTTTGGAAGTAAAGAACTGAATTGTGACTAGTGGTGAACATATAATTAGCAGAGGTTTTGGAAAGGGGTTGAGAAAAGGTTTGAAAATTCCCTGTAGCACCAAGGTGAAACAAAAACTGGCAATAAAACAAAACAAATGTTCAATTTACACTTTGTAATACTATGCAGCTGTAAAATAGAAGGATCTCTTACCCTTTGAGACAGCATAGAAGGACCTGGAGAGCATTATGCTAAGTGAAATAAGCCAGTCAGAGAAAATAAGTATCACATGATCTCACTCATATGTGGAGTCTAATGAACAAAATAAATTGATGAACAGATCCAGAGACATGGAAGCATGGAGCAGGCTTTTAAATCTCAGAAGGAAGGTTGGAGTGGGTGGGAAGAGATCAATCAAAGAACTTGTATGCATATATGCTTAACTCATGAACACAAACAATAGTGTGTTGAATTCCCTACTAGTCTCAATGCGCTTTCTTCTTTACCTCTCTTAATTGTAGTACTTCAACTCAGCCAGCTTCCCCACGGTTCTGGATGATGGTTGTTCTGTATTTTAGTTGTAATTTTGATGTGGTTGTGGGAGGCAGTAAGTACAGGCGTTTACCTATGCTGCCATCTTGGTTCCTCCAATAAACTTTTGTTTTGTTTTTTTAAAATAATTAACAGAATTTTAGGGACTGAAAAGCTCTATAGGAAACATCCAACCTAACTTAGGGAATGAAAGTGAAGAAAATATATAAATGAAAAAGGTCTCAGAAATTTGAACCAGGAAGGAAATTTACAAAAACTGGGGGCGGATGTCAGGTTTTGCTTGCACTTTTATCCCTGGTACAGAGCACAGTGTATTGCACTTAGGAGCTTCTCAAAAGTATTTCTTGAGAAAAAAGAAATGATATCAATTAAGACTGTTATCCCTTCAGATAGTTAAAATTGTGAGTAGAATAATTTCTTTTTTGTATAATTGTCAAACAATAATATAAAATCAATTGGGCTATCAAGAAATGAGTATTAATTATTGTCATGAGTGAAATTTGTTCTTTAAAATTTAGGGAAATAAATTTCATCTTATTTTCTTTGATCAGAAGCAAATGAAATCTGTTTTGAGCCCTCCCTCCAGCATAATGAGAAATTCCATCTTACTCCTGTTTTAAGGGTCTCCCTTCTTTTTTTTTCCTGATGCTTTACTGGAGTGTGGCTGTCTGCAAAGTGGGGGAAGTCCGTGGTTTAGTCTGCAATGGCCACATGGGTACCATAATTTCTATGTTACATAATTCCACTATCCACCTTCCTTAGAGGAGATGGAAAGGTTCCCTTCCAAAGGTTTTCACTACCTATGTTTCATTACTGAGGTAGCAGGACGTTTATAAAGCAAATTAGAAACTCCTTTTTCCTTGGTGGTATTTGTAGTTACTTTGCTCCATCTGTTGTTGTTTGATGCCACTGTTGAGGTTGGTCCCTTGTCATCATCTGGGCACTGATCAGTGAATGTGCTTAAAGGCACTCCTTACAACAGACCTTTGCATTGCCTGGTAATTGCCTACTTGTTCTTAGACTTTTTAAAAAAATATATATTTTATTGAATTTTTACAGAGAGGAAGGGAGAGGGATAGAGTTAAAAACATCTATGAGAGAGAAACATCGATCAGCTGCCTCCTGAACACCCCCACTGGGAATGTGCCCGCAACCAAGGTACATGCCCGGAATTGAACCTGGGACCTTTGAGTCTGCAGGCCAATGCTCTATCCACTGAGCCAAACCGGTTAGGGGTGTTCTTAGACTTTTTAAAAAATCCTCACCCGAGGATATTTTTCCACTGATGCTTAGAAAGAGTGGAAGGGAGGGGAGAGAGACAGAGAGAAACATGATGTGAGAGATACATTGATTGGTTGCCTCTGGCACGGACACCAACCAGGGCTGGGGTTTGAGATGGCAACTGAGGTACATGCCCTTGACCAGAATCGAACCTGGAACCCTTCTGTCCCCGGGTCTATGCTCTACACGCTGAGCCAAACTGGCTAGGCCTGTTCTTAGGACTTTGGTGCTAAATTATCCGTCATACTCAATATCTGATGACTAAATGCAAGGAGGATATAAATCTCCACTATTCATGGAAATGTGCAAATGTCCCCAACTCACACTTTTCTCAGGGCTTAAGTCTCCTTTTCCTTTTAATTCTCAGAATCAGGCTTTTCCTCCTTCCTCTGAATAGGACTCAAGTTCTCAAACAATAGAGCAGACTTTTCTTTCTGGGTGACTGGCAAATTCTGTTTCTAGGTATGTGATACAAAAGACAAAGATAGTTTTTAAAGAAGAAAACCTTGACTTTTTAGGATACAGTAAGGGGAAAATATCTCTTACTTTAAAACTTTTTTTCAATGACAAGAAGTGAAAATTCTTATTAATCCAATACATTTTCAGACCACAGTATGAATCCATTGAATACATTCCATGAAGACTGGTAACAGGCCACTCTTCTCACTATGTATCCTCAGATTGCTGGGTATGTGGTAGGTACTATAGTAAATAGACTGAGTGTTGAGTTTTCATTTGAGTTTCTTTTGTTTTGTAGGAAAACAGATTCACAGCTGTGAAATATAGGAGCCATAGTTATAGGTTTCTTATTGCTGATTATATTCATTTACCATGGATATATCAGTAAATAAAACAGACAAAAATACCTTCTTTTTGTGGAACTTACATTCTATGGAGCGGTGGGGAGATAGCAATAATAAATGAAATGAATAAGGAAAATATATTCTATGACAGATGGTGATAAGTGCTATGAAGAAAACTAAGGGAGAGAAGAGAGAGGGAAAATGCACAGAAGGCAGCTGAGACTCATCATGGAGTGTGTAGGAATACTTTCATTATTGGAAGGATGATATGTGAGCAAAGACCTGGAATAAGTGAGAAAGCTAGCCACATGTAAAACACCTACGTAAGGAGAGAAAGACCAAGCCATGAGGCAGAAGCATGGCTGCTTGTCTGAGAAATAATGAAGAGGCCTATTTGACTGGTGGGGATTGACTGAGGGGAGATTGGTAAAACCCACAGTAGAGGGGTAAGGGGGATGGATTATATGGGGTCTCGCAGGTCCTTGTAAGGACTCTAGCTTTTTATCCTAGTGAAATTGTGAACCATTATATAGTTTTGGGTCAAGGAGATACATGATTTGATGTGTTTTAATGGCATCACTCTGGTTGCTCTGTTGAGAATAGACTGTTGGAGGTGGAACGCAGGGCAGAAGCATGTGATCAGTGAGGAGGTTGCTGAAATAATCCAGGTATGTGATGATGGTGGCTTGCATTTGGGGTATATGCGCGCAAGTAGTGAGAAATGGTGAATTTCTGTATCTGTTTTGAAAGTAGAACCAGCAGGAACCTAGAACTTACTTTCTTTTCACTGGGTTTTGCATTCTTAATCAGTACTTCCACTGCATTTCTCAGAGAAAGTATAGAAAAGGGAGTGCCTGATGGCACTGGGCCTATGAATGAGCTGCTTAGAATGACTATTTTAAAGAGATATATGAGACCCAAGTCAGTAATGATTTTATTCACGAAGAATAGATAGTTAAGTCTCTCACTAAATTCTTGGTTTACTGTACCGTTTAGATTTTACTGTGAGTTTTACAACAGCACAACACAAGGATTAGTGGCGGATAGATACTGGTGGAGCTGCGACACAGCATGAATTCTTCCTGACACCTATTGGGTGATACACTGTGATATCTATAAAAGAACTCCAACTAGCCCAGTCATTACTCATGAGAATGAGAAAACACCTACTCCTCTTAAAATAATAATAAAGAACAGTGGGATAAAAAGCCCCATTAGGAGGATCACATGCAGGACTTTGCTTTACTAATTTGCGAAAGAGAAGGCATGCTTTAGTGAAATTTGTCAGAGTACCACATGGGGCTCTATCATGAGAAATTAATAGACAATCAAAGAAAACCAGAAGGCTCCCATTTTTTGTGTGTGTGTAGAATCAGAGCGAGGCACTCATTTATTTTTGTAGTTTTCTCTTAATAGTCCAGTAGTTTCTGCCATGAAGCAATTTCATTAAAGCTTTGATCATACAGTAATATAAACTCAAGCGTCAAAAGCTTCATTGCCCTAAAGAGTCAGTAATTGGCCAAATGACTTTTAGAGTTTTGCTTGGATTCATTGCAGTACAAGTAAAAATTAATTACCCTCACAGTTTCTGCAATACCATCATATAAGGGTGTCAAAACTTGTCTTTGTAAATGACATTTCTTCATTTCTCACTGGATGTGGGGCTGGCTGTAAATGTGATTTGTGGAAATCATTAATGAGGTACTAGACCTAATTGACTTCTCTTAGCTTTATGACAACATAAAAAAGTTCTGCACTGGTGATGATAATTCTTTTGAAGTTCTCTGGTAGGAAATCCATGACTGTATATTTTTCCAATGAGGCAGGACTTAATGTTATTTAGAATTCGAAATGCAGCTGTAGCTAAGGAACAATATGGCAATGTGGCAGACATGACCATTTTTATATTTTATCATTATTACCATCATTATCTTCATCTGCTGCGTCTGCTGAGCTTCTGCTATATTGGTACCATGGCATTAGGTCTTGTTGTGGAAATTGTGCACCAGGGATGAGGCTCAGCAAATGGGTGATGCACTGTTTGCACTGTTTATGAGAGAGTGCATTTTGTTTGACCACTGTCAAAGTCGATTTTACAGAGAGAGAGAGAGAGAGAGAGAGAGAGAGAGAGAGGAGAGCCTGGTTGGGAAGCTTCTTATATAGCAACTAAGTACTATATTCATGAACCACCTCTCATACTTTGGAAATTAAACTTATAGAGGCCAGAGTTCTGAATTATATGTTTGAAAAACCTGAAAATGCTAGCAAGTGTTGACAAACTCTGAGGGTTTGATAAATTTCAGTAAGAAATAGACAAACTTTGAACCATTTGAAAGCAGAAAGAAGCATTTAAATTTGTAAATAAAAGCTCTTTCTGTCTGTGCCCAGCAACCTCACACTACTGAGGATCAGATAATCAGAAGCTAAATATTTGCAAAATTCAAATTTTCTTTCTCACTCTGAAACCGGTGCAATGAAATAGAGGAAGATGAAGATCATGATAGAAAATAAGAGTGGGACTGAGAAAGAGCTAAAGCAATGGAAGAAAGAATAGTGCAGGCTTTTGCTAGTACCTTTCACTGTGTACTCATTGCATGATAGAGTTATAATCCCTCTTAAGGTAAAGTACCTTCCATGGGATGCAATTTTGAGCAAAGGAGAAAGTTGACTATGCCTCAATGCAGCATCGCAGGAGACACAGACAAAATTGAAGTACTGTCTGAAGTCTAGGATTATGGGAAGAAGCTCATGCTTCTTGCTAAGGTCAGGACTATCTAAGTTTTATGGCTTATTAGCTAATGTTGCCAGAAATTGAATAGACTAACGGGCTTAGTGATTTTAATCTCTATATATAAAAGCCTAAGCAACCATTACAACCCAATGACCTGAACAACTGGTCAACCAGTTGCTATGACGCGCACTGACCACCAGGGGGAAGACGCTCAACACAGGAGCTGCCCCCTGGTGGTCAGTGGCTCCCACAGCCAACCTCCAGTGGTCCCTCCCCGAATCAGCCAACCTCCCTTCGTCTCTTCTTCCATTCCTCCTCCCAGTGAGCAGACCCTGATCACCTGATCCAGGCATGCCGGCCAACCTTCTGCAGTCCCTCCTCCTTGGACGACCAACCTCCCGTAATCTCCCCCTCCCCCCCCATGCCCAAATTCATGCAACGTATGGTGAAATTCTAAGTTGGAAAAACAAGAGCCTATGGATGTTCAACACCTAAGGTAATTCCTAGGACCCCCTACTTAATGACAATAGCAAGGATCAGAGCTAACCTGCCAGCTGACCACTGATGGAAATGCAGAGGGATCAAGAAATAAAACTAAAGTTTTTTTAAGCCATGGAGATTTTCAGGTTATTTCCTGTTGGGGTCCAGCCCCAGCAGGTCCAGGGGTTCCCAAAGGTGTGGACGGAGTTGGCGAAGAAGGAATGTCATGGAGACAGCAGCGTTCAGTTGATCAACGTAGCCAGGTTCTCTCTTTATTCTCCTGTTACATCTGTATTTATACCATTTGATTTTAATCCTATCCATTCTATTCCAAAGGTTAGGGCGTTTGTTATCTCCATTCCAAGGTTACTACTCTACTGTTCTGTTAAGCTACAAGGAAGTAACTGAAGGAGATTATCCTAAGTAAAGACTATGTAGCTTAAGCATGATTGTTCATAGTTAAAGTGATTAACTACCCACCTGGCACTTAGTTAAGGGGTTTTACTGATTTATTCCCTTCCTTAGTCCTGTTAATCTCTAACTCCAGGGAAAAATCCCCACCTGGGGAAACAACCTTTCTCGGAGAGGTGACCTTGGTTAAAACACATAGCGCTAAGAAGGGGAGCAAACATATTAAGAACAGTATGCCATATACGCCAGGTCCCTTGAAACATATGCTGTGCAGATGTTTCTTCCCTGCAGCGACTGTGTCAAGCAGCAAGGATGGACCAGCTTCCGGCAATTTCCCTAAGAATAACCTACCCTTTTTTGACTGATATATCCTCTTATAATTTCTCCTTACTATTGCTTTCCAGATGTCATTTAATAATAGGATGGTGCTTTTAGAGGAACAGCATTTGTTCTTCACTGTTGGGGTGGGAAAGTTATTTCCCACTTCTGTATTTTCATATGGAGAGACTGTCATTATCGTGAAAACACTCCTGGATTTCCTTTGCCTCCTTAATCATTACTCCTCCAAGGCCAGAGGAACCAACTAATTAAATGAGATTGGCTGAGAACACTGGGCATACACATCTCATCCTCTTCCTTTCTCTTCTTGGTGGGATCTTTTAGATCTTGGAGGACAACTGTTTTATTTTATTCTTAGCCACGTGGTAAGCTGG